ATTGGGCACTGGCTAGTCTGCTGAGAGCCATCATGGGACTTGTCCCTGCACTGTGATTACCAAGACAGTTTATGCAGTGAGGGTAGTAGAGAAGGTAATGCCACACCTCTCCTCCTGACATAGCCTGCTGCCTAGGTGACAGTGCCTGGGTCATGTCTGTAGGAAACCTTTTAGAGGGCTGGTCTGCTCAGCAGGCTGCCTGGTCAGGGTTCTCCTCCAAGTTAATTCCAGCAAATCTAGAGCCAGAGTTCATGGGGTCCCAGATGGAGTCAAAATCTGCCTGATCGTGAGGCCACCCCTTGTATCTTCCACCAAGCCTCATCCGAGAGCGGGTTTTCTAGGGACAAGAATTCACCTTGTCCTTTTCTCGCCCTCTACTGATGATCAGATGATGCTCAGCAGAACCAAAACTTGGCAGGAATTTTGGTCTGCAGCATGCACTTAAAGTATTTATTAATACTGTTTTCCTGATGTTATTAAACTTTCTCTTCTCCGTCTCTCCCTCATGCTCAATTTTCCCTCTAATCAGTGGTCCTCAAAATGTGGTCACAGGGCCAGCAGTATCAACATCACCTGGGAACCCGTTCGAAATGCAGATTCTCAGGACCCAGACCTTAGAAATCTGCGTTTTAACAAGCCCTCCTGGTGGTTTTGAGGGCTCAAATTTTAGAATCTCAGCTGTAAATTGCCCTGTTAATAATCCTTTTGAAATTAAAATTCAGATTCACTTAGCCTTGGTTAAGGACTTACTAAATTAGGATGTCCAGCTAGACTTAGAGTGATCTGGTGATAGAGGTGTACAGTCCCATTTTAGGAAACTGAAGCCCAGGAAAGTTAAAGAATGGCAGAACTGGGATTTGAATCCGTATGTCCCAACAACAAATTTAGGGTTCTTTTCATTGCATCACACAAAGCAACAGAAAAGCCCACACACTTGGCAATACTGACCTAAATAGAACTGACCTCAGACAAAAGAGTTGAAATGGACAAGTCTTGATTTTCTAAATAGGACTGACCCCAGACAAAACAGTTGAAATGGACAAGTATTGGTTTTGACATATTCTTAGTCTCCCCATGCTGATTTCTTTGGGTTTTCATATCTCCTTCCTGTAGAGATTGATTATCTCCTGTTTTTCATCATCTTTCCAAAAGGACTTCATGATACAAAGTGATTCTTTCTCTCTGGAAGAGCTGCATTTTCTTGAGTATATTGGAGACCCAACGGAATGAATCTTTAATGGCAGAATTTGGATCAGTTCAGTGGGTTGATGGTGGGAAGCAGGAATATTTTTGGGTAGGTAACTGAATAGTCCAAACTGAGAATGTCTCTATAATTGAGCCCCATGGATGGCTATCTAGTAGTAACACTGGACTGGTGGTTCTCAGTGTGCTTTGTTTCCCTTTGTTCCCTACGTGGATGAGAGACTGTCTTGTGAGGTCCTTCTGGCATATAGAAAATCTACCATAGCCTACCCATCCTGAGTTCACGCTAGGCTAAAAGATTTCAACACTTAAAGTAGGCCATCAGTTAAATACTTTTAATGTTGAATTCATATAACGAATGACTAGTCATTATATGAAAATATTACGAATAGCATATCAGAAATAGTGCCAGAAGATGAACTTCTAAGGTTGGAAGGCACTCAAATTATGACTGGGGAAGAATTGCCTCCTCAAAGTAGAGTTGACTGTGATGATGTGAATGGAGAAGAACTTTGGGACCTTCATTTGCTGATGGGGCACAACTTGAGAAACAGCTGCAAACATCCATCAATAACATAACATGGAATGTATGAAGTATGAATCTAGGAAATTTGGAAGTTGTCAAAATTGAAATAGAACACATGCACACATAATCAAATCTGTGTTGGAAGAAGGACATCTAGAATGCTCCTTAGAAACCAGGATGGTGAGACTTCGTCTTTCAGACTTTGGACATTTTCTCAGGAGGGACCAGTCCCTAGAGAAGGACATCATGCTGGTAAAGTGGATGGTCAGGGAAAAAGAGGAAGACCCCTCCCCCCTAATGAGATGGATTGGCACAGTGGCAGTAGCAGTGGACTCAAGTGTAACAACAGTTGTGAGGATGGCACAGGACCAGGCACTATTTCATTCTGTTGTGCATGGGGTCATTATAAGTCAGAACCGACTCGATGGCACGTAATAGCAACAGTCAACTCCAGTCTCAGATGACCATACTTCAGGCACCAAATGGTATGTAAGTTCTGTTCTCTACAAGCCCGACCTTTTTTACCTGGACAGATTCTGCTGGGGTTGATGATCAGCATTTAATGGCACTGGGTTGTGAGACCAGGTCCCTGCCAGAAAGTGCACACTCATGATTGTAGAGTCTCAGGCCAAAAGCTAGCAAATACAAACCTGTGACGTCAAGGAAGAAAAAAATATCATGCTTTCTGTTCATATGTCCCTTGACGCTGTCTCTTAGCAAATTGCTACACAGAGAAAGATTACAAGAGGAATGAGGCTGAGATGGGGAGATGCTCACCATGTCCCTCTGATACAGAAAAAATAACACATGTACATCCCTCCTAAGTGACCTCTATTTGGTTCCAGTAAACAAAGTAAAGGAGCCTTTCTGCAGATTTTTAAGCAATGCTGCTCCAAAGTAAACTTCTTGCCTTTTCCTCCCTCCCCCAAATTATGAGAAAATAACAACATTTTGCTTTGCAATCAATGCCTGGAGCACCTCAGGGTTCAGTGTGATTAAGGGTTAAGGGTGTATGAAGGTCAAATTTACCTTGCCTCTGGCCTTTTCCAGTGGACCAGAGGATTTGGTATTTGCATTGTCATGGGGATAGGACAGGATGGGGGCGGGAGGAAGACCAGCAAGACCTGCAGAATTAGAACAACTTCACTCTGATACCAAGGAAACGTTTTCCAGCTTTCTGACCAAACTTTTTGAAAGTAACAATTTGGTTAATATAAGAAAGTGCTTTTGATAAATAATTCTGTTAGAGAAACTTAATCATTGCTTGTCTCTTCTGGTTAAAATTGCTTTGTTCTCCCCAGTTCTAAGGGGTACTGGTGGCATAGTGGGTTACATGTTGGGCTGGGAACCAAAAAGTTAGCTGTTCAACTTCACCAGCAGCTCCTCAGGAGAAAGATGAGGCTTTCTGTTCCCGTAAAGATTTTATAGCCTTGGAAACCCTATACAAGGTCACTGTGTGTCAGAACTGACTCAGTGACACACAACAACAACAGCATCCAACTCTGGGTAATGCTTGGATGCTTTAGTTTGGGACTAGAAGCTTCTGTGCTCTCTTTTACATTTTGAAATATGCAATATTATCTCCAGAAGACTTGTAGCAGAAAAGTGTTAAGCTATAGAAAACAATCCATTCCTCTTAAGAAGGGCTAAGATGGATGGTTGAATAAAATGATAAACATAAAATTATCATGTCACTGAGTTGTACATGTGAACAATGTTGAAATGGCAGAGGTTTTGTTTATACACACACACACACACACACACACATATAACACACGGAGTCCTGGTGTGGCACAGTAGGCTAATACATCAGACTGCAAAGTCATTTGAGCTGCAAGGTTGGTGGTTCAAGCTCACCAGCTGCTCCTTGAAACCCTATACAGGGTCACTATGGGTCGGAATTGACTCGATGGCACTAAACAACAACACACACATACATACCACAAGGTCATCGATTTGAGCCCACCAGCCTTCCTTGGGAGAAAGATGAGGCTTTCTGCTCCTGCAAAGATTTATAGCTTGGGAAACCCTATATAGGATCACTGTGAATTGGAACCAACTCAACAGCACTAACAACAACATGTTTACCACACTTTTTTTTTAACATAAGGAACAGAATTTATTATGATGATGGTGTGGGAGAGAGGTATTCAGTGTATACAAGTACAGCAATACAATAAAAACCTAGGAAGGAATTAACAAACCAAACGGAGGTATTGAAGAATAGCCAGGAAGTCCCCTCCCACCTTTTATCTCTCCTCTCAGTTGCCCTGCTTTCATCTCTCATTAGGGTCTGGCTTTTCATTTTCAGGCCACATAATAAGAAGTGGTTATTGCCTGGTGGTGCTCTGGGTGAGGTATTTTGCTGGTAACTGAAAAGCTGGCAGTTCAGATCCACTAGCTGCTCCACAGTAGTAAGAAGAGGCTGTCTGCTCCCATAAAGAATTACAGTCTCAGAAGCTCTATATATGGTCAGGTCGACATGAGTCAGAATTTGACTCCATGGCAGTTTTTTGTTTTGTTTTGGTTCTTGAATTGCTAATTAGCCTTAGGTTACCACACTTAAAAAACTTTTTTTAAGAAGTTCTAAAATGAAAATAGGACTTTGCAAAATAGATCTCAAAGTCATATATCACGTCCCAAAAATCATACTTAAAAGCTACAAAAAAAGTATTTCAACTATAGAAACAGTGTGTTTTATGCCTTCAACTAGAGAGGTTGTTGATTGTTGTTGTTGTTGTTATGTACCGTGACCCTGTGCTAGGTTTCCGAGGCTGTAAATCTTTACAGAAGCAGAAAGCCTCACCTTTCTCCCATGGAACAGCTGGTAGTTTCAAACTGCTAACCATAAGGTTGGCAGCCCAATTCGTAACCACTACACCAGGATCGGACAGTGTTTCATTCTGCTGTGCATGGGGTCTCTTTGAGTCGGTTCCGACTCGATGGCACCTGACAACAACAACACTACCAAATGGTGGAGTAAAATTCCAGTTCTCCCACCTAATGGTTGGTGACAGACCTCAAAGAGTTAATGCTTGTCTGGCACTTTTCTTAAACAAATTAAGGCCTGGCTCAGTGGCTGCTCCTTCCCAGAGAGGGAGGGGGGAGGGGAAAGGAGAGGACGCCCCAGCCTGCAGGGTAGACTCTCCCTATTCAGATTGTTGCTAGTGGCAGTGGCTTACGTATGCCACTGGGTAGAGAGCCTCAGTGATGGTGAGCTAGGTACCTAATTTTGTTTTCTGTCACTGCAACGCTTTCTGTCCCTGGACAGGAGCGGCTAGAGGCAATGATGCGTAGGTCTATTGAGCGCACGCAGCAGCTGGAGCTGAAGAAGAAGTGCTCTTGGGGAGGAGCGCTGGCCGCAGCAGCGTCAGGAAGCAGCCACGGTGAGTGCCCAGGACTGGTCTGCATTGCAGGGCAGTGGGAGAGAAGGGGCAGCACCCCCAGGGGCTCCTCGCATAGACTTTTAGGGCACCATTTTCTGATTAGGAGGTTTACCTTCCCAGCTTCTTCCTGTGTATATACTTCTCAGGAAGGGAATCTGCATTCGTCTTGTTGTAATTGGACTTTAAGGGAGAGCAAAATGTACAGAGGGCTTTTGTAAAAGCAAAGAAAGTGAACGCAAAGCTGGTAAAACACCTTCTTGCAGGCCAGGTGACAGTGCCATGCTAGGGATGGAAGGTAGCAGAGACGCTGTCACTGTCACCACTAGATATGACCTGGGAGGTAGAACAGCAGTTTCTGTCCCGCCCCCCTCCCCCCCATTAATTGTTGTTGCTCTTTCCTTTGTGTTTCAGGGTGACTTATTTCAAATGTTTAATTGAACGTGTGGATTGTTACAGGTCTTTGGGTGACTTTTTTCCCTTTCCTTTGGTCTCTTCCTGTATTTTCATAGTCATCTCAGTGTTCTATTATGCAGAGGTTGGATAGGAGCTCTTTATGAGAGTAAATGGGTTTAAGTTTATGTTATAGTTTCTAGACTTTGATGCATTGTGCATTTGCTTTTACCAGTGTATTGTATATTTAAACAGTGAATGTACTTCTGTTTTGGGAAGTCAACAATCCATTTTAGTGACTTTGTTGTTGTTGTTAAGTGCCATGGAGTCGGTTCCGACTCATAGCGACCCTGCACAGGGTTTCCGAGGCTGTAAATCTTTATGGGAGCAGAATGCCTCATCTTTCTCCCGTGGAACAGCTGGTAGTTTCGAACTGCTGACCTTGTGGTTCACAGCCCGATTCGTAACCACTACGCTACCAGAGCTCCTTTAGTGACTTTAAATGGTCCTAATTAAAAACTACAAAACAACCAAAAATGGGATCTTTTTTCTTTTACCTCTCTTTGCTCTAATTTCTTGCTGTGTAGGTGAATCAGAGAATCCCCCACCCTTTCCTGTAGGTTTAGTGGTCAGCACCCTCCCTCCGGACCCAGGGACAACTGCCACCGCTGCTGAAGCCACCAAGGGTATATCTGAATGTTGTTGAGCTATAGCATTTTGTCATACCTGTCCTAACCACCTTCCACCATCTCCAGTGTGTCTGTCTCAAGCACTTTTACAGTTTACCTCTTAGTCTGAACATTATAAGTTTTTTTTCTAGAGATGTGAATGAAATACCCACATGTCTTCATTCATTTGTCGTGCATGCCTTACATGGGCACATCTCATCCTTGACTCACTAATTTCTGCCTTGAAAATCTTGTCAGTGTTTGGCTTTTTTGTATTTAGATCCTTAGCACTCATTAATCATCTGTTTTAGACAGAAAGTAGAAGGGGTCAGATAATTTCTGGTCACCAAAACCTTTCTTCATCTAGCTCCAGTGGAACACTTGGGCTTGGTGTTAATGCCATGGATTCCTGGAGAGGTGTTTGAGAAGAAATTGGGATAGAAGCAAAGCTTTGCAGTCCTAACACTGAGAACCCAAGTAATCAATAATTTGACTTTGTCCTTGATTTCAGCCTTCTATTTGAGAGACCAACCTGAAAATTAGTTCAAAGAACAGGACTAGCAAATCTTTGCTCCCATTGAATTCTGACTTGAGAAATCTAACCCATTTTCTGCTGGTAAAGAAAAAATAAGATTTAAAAGAAATGCAATATTTGACAGCAAAGCAGACATTCAGTTGTTGTTATTGTTAAGTACTGTGGAGTCAGTTCTGACTCATCGTGACCCTGCATAGGGTTTCCGAGGCTGTAAGTCTTTACGGGAGCAGAAAGCCTCATCTTTCTCCTGCGGAACAGCTGGCAGTTTCAAACTGCTGACCTTGAGGTTGGCAGCCCGACTCGACTCATAACCACTTAGCTACCAGAGCTCCTTGACATTCAAAGGAGAGCACTATAAATCAGTAGTATCCTTGACTTTCTGCATTGCTCTAATAAAGAATGATCATTACTGGTATTACTTAGTAGCAGAGAGTAAGCTAAACAACTGGCTTCTTGTAGTATTGGCATCAGCGTCTCTCCACTAGAGGTGTTTGTAGAGCTGAATTATCACCCACTGGGAAATAAGCACTCAGGTCCAGGACCAAGGTGAAATAAATATGATACTCACTCTGGCTTCAGTATTCAGCCCAGGTCCAAAATTGTAAGCAGTGCCAAAAAGTCTCAGTAATCAAGATAAAAATATTTTAATGCAATATTTTTCAAATAAAATTAATGCAAAACAATTCATAATAAAGCAAAATATCACATTTCTGAAAATCAGTACTACTCTCAGCTATTTCAGAGCCTGAGACAAAGGGAAATGTATATTCCTACATACATTTTTTTGTATTTTTTAATGGTTGATTTTTTCCAGAACATTAAAACTCACAGTTTAAACCAAGACAGAATTAAATAAAAATTAGAATTTTTTTTTTTTACTTCAGCTTATGTTAATTAAAAATGATTTCAGATCATCATTTGGTCAAGAGAAATTGCCAAATGTGCCAGTTCTCGAAATTGAAAATGAGGTGAGCAAAGGAGTAGAGTTTTTAAAAAATGTTACTGATGAGCTTATTTCCAGGAATACATAAGTTTCCTTTTGCTTCAGGCTCTGTGATGACTCCACTCAGCACTGTGAGCACCTCTTAGTTTGCTGTGTGGTTTGACTTAGAAGCCAATCTAGAATAATGGCTGGATATGGAAAACACCCAAACCCAGGGTCACATATTAAAATCCAGGGCGGTGTTGACCCCATCACTTGATGAGAGCAAGCGACCAACTGCTAGTGGCCATTCTGCTTCAGATATAGCTCCTTACATTACAAATCTCATTTCTCTCTGACCTGAAACATAGATGATCTTCAGATAAAAGCCAGTTTCAACTCAGTCTCAATCAAACCATAGACTGTTTCCAGAGGCAGTTTGTTTCTAGGTCTAGATTGGTTTTGTTTTCATGTGGTTGAAATATGTTTAAAAATCACTGGATATAAGGAAATGATTTTCTGGTGGGTTTAGTTTGAATTGTTTAGTTGAACGATTTAGTGAGCCTGAACATTCTAAATTTAAGAGAAATTCTTGCTTCAGACAAGTATCTGCTGTAGCCTAGGCATTTCCAGATTAGGATGATTAGCTCTCAGAGGTGTAGAAGTTCAAGTGGGTAGGGATCAAAAGAACACTTAGGGGTATGTGTTTCTATACCAGTATCTTTGTTGGTGTCAATACCAATGTCTTTATTGCTTTTTTCTTTTTCAGCATGTGACAAACTTTCAACATCAATCATGAACTTACCAAAGCAGATGGAACCTCCTATGAGTAAGCGCTTGTCTTCATCCACCGTGACAATACCTTATTCTCCAGAACGAGGCAAGTGAGCTTATAGAGCTTGTCTCTCCCCAGCTTCTTCTTTCTTGCGTGAATGTCTTTAACACTGCCCTTTGTGAGATTCCCCCCTTGCACTTTCTGAAAATACCACCCTGTTCTAAGACTGGTGTGATTAAGCACTGTAGTACTTAGGATACAGCCAGTTCATGACTGAATAGGGAGAAGAATCATAGGATTCTTCCAGTCTGCGTAGGGATGAATTCACCAGTGGACAGATGTGACTGTTAAAACACATAGCTGCCCAGTTAGTGATACCATATGGCTTATTAGCCCAAAAGGAGAAATGATGACCCACAGAGACTTCAATATATGAAGGAACAAATCACTACAGTTGGCCACTACAGGTTTGCAGACCTGTCTATTTTTCAGGCGAAAGCAGAGACTTCAAATTAAAAATCCTTTGAAAAGAGAAAAAATGGCTTTTCAGGCTCTCTGTTTTAAGATAGTAGGTGCTATGTACAGAACTTGTGTCAGTTTAAGAAACTAAATAGATAATGACACCTTTTGTGTTTTAATGCACCTGTTCCAGAGGCTCAGACAAGTTGTTAACATATACCTTTCTGGGTGTGTAGGTTAAGGGAGGGAGGGAGGGGAACTCCCCATGTGTTCAGTGTATATATATGACAGCACTATTTAAGAAACCGCAGATGCTAGTTTATTGTGTATGTCATCACCAAGGGATGAGAAGGAGGATGTTTATGTGCCTTCCTGGTTGTATTTCTTTCACTTGGCTGTGACGTTGCAATTTCATCACAGGGGCATGCATGTCCTATGTGTCAGAGACCCTGTAAGTGTCATGAAGCTTATCTCTGATGCAGTCGATGTTGAAGCATGGGAAGCATTGAACTAATCAAGAGTTGACCTGTTAGTGAGTGTAGTCCGTGTTGTTGTTACATGCCAGGAAGTCGGCTCTCATTTATAGGGTGTCCAAGGAGCGGCTGGTGGGTTTGAACCACTGACCTTGTAGTTAGCAGTCTAGTGCTTATACTACACTAGAGCATATATTTCCATGAATTTACATGGTTATAGATTGATGTTAAATCCATTTTTTGCAATGATTAAATGTAAAGATGGTGGTGTATTGTTATATGTTGTTGGCAACTGAATTATCTACTTGTGGAATACATTTACTAGTTAGTGCATCCCCCAAAACTCAAAGTGATTTCTTGGAAAAATGACTCCCATTGCAATATGGAAATGACATTTCAGTCACTGAATTTTATATTGTGACTATGGCTGTCTCCTTTAAAGCTGATAATCAGGCAACTATTTTTTATTTTTGCCCTTATTTACATGAAAAAAGTATAAAAGCATGCATTTTATGCTGTTATGAGACTACATGTTTCATGAACCAAAACGATGTGTTCAGAGATATTTCTTAACAGAGGACTTGAATGTTTGGTAGAAGAATGGTGTTTCAGTGTCAGATCTCCTTGGTGTGGTAAATGGGTTTCTTGAGCTCACTTCACGTCTTGGCGGGTGAATTTATCAGAGTAGTACAGGGCCCTGCACTATAATAATACAGCCCTAAACTCAATGACTTCAAAGTCATCCTTTACTGTGGTTGTTATGTGCCGTGGAGTCGGTTCCGACCCATAGCGACCCTGCACAGGGTTTCCGGGTCTGTAAAGCTTTACGGGAGCAGAAAGCTTCATCTGTCTCCCACGGAACAGCTGGTAGTTTCAAACTGCTGACCTTGAGATTAGCAGCCCAATTCGTAACCACTACGCTACCAGAACTCCTTTACTAGATTCTCTTTATTTTCCATTTTTGTTCTGTAAACAGAAATAAGTTTGCATCCTACACTGTGTTGTTTTTAAATGTTGTGTTTTGATTTAATTTTTTTAATTTTTTAATTTTGCTGTATGTTTTTATTTGATCCCATTCCTCAGCTCTAGCATGCACCGTAGTCCCATGGAAACCTTTCTTGTTATGTGACTGTTGCCACCCACACATGCTTCTTTAGCCAGGATCCGAAGTACTCGTGCTCTCTGAGGAGACCAGTAACTCAGGTCCAAAAAGAGGCTAAGCTGGTGATACCTAGGAACATTCCCAAAGGGGTATTGGTCAGCCTTGGAGTGATTCCTGAATTTATTATACATTTCCCTTCCCATTTCCTGGCTTTTTGGAATGTCTTCAACAATTAATAACATTTTCTGTCCTCCAGTGGTTTACAATTACTGTATTTCATTTTAAGTATCACAGAGGTAAGTAAATTATTTTATGGCTGAGGGTGTGTGAATGAGCAAAACCAAATTTACCTGATGAGCTTTGCAGGTCAGTAGACTCTTCTTAGAGGTGGTTTGGCAAAGTAACCTGGAGACCACAGTCTCTGGAGTCCCGAGACCAGCTCTACCTCTAACTAGCTCTGTGACTTTGGGTAAGTTATGAACTTCTCTAAGCTCCAGTTCCCTCGCATATAGAATGGACCTATTTTTCATGGTCGTGAGGCTTAAATGAGATAATGCATATAAATGAGATGCACAAAGTAAGAGCTCAACAAATGACAATAGCACTGCTGCTCACAGTGTGGCCCAAGGACCAGCCACATCGGCATCACTTAGGAGCACATTAGAAAGTCAGACCCCCAGGTCCCACCAGACGTGCACAGTAACTCTGAGAAACCCTTGACCAGCCCATCACAACCCTTTCTTTATTAAAGTGATTCATAGCATCATGTATAGATGCCAAGGTTAGTGAGGGTCGACTTTCAAGATAACAGTAGTGTTAGACATGAGGTTGGGTCGGCTCTCAGTTCCCCAAATAGTGTTTTCAATGAGATGACCTATAAACTGCTACCTAGTAGTAGCTGCTTCTGAATAATTGTACTATTTCTACAGAGAATATATACAAAAGACCAAAAAGCACATGAGAAATTTTTCAACATTACTAGCCATCAGGGAAATGCAAATCAAAAACCACAGTGAGGTACCATTGTACCCCTACGGAACCCACTGCCATTGAGTAGATTCTGACTCATAGTGACTACAGAACAGAGTGGAGTCCTGGTGTGGCACTGTGGGTTAATGCGCTGGACTGCAAAAGTCAGTTTGAACCACCAAGTCGATGGTTCAAGTTCACCAATTGCTCCTTGGAAACCCTATACAGGGTCGCTGTGGGGTCAGAACCAACTTGATAGCACTTAACAAGGATGGCTGAAGTAGCCCTGGTGGTGCATTGGTTAAGTGCTTTTGTTTGCTTACTGAAAGTTTGACAGTTTAAATCACCAACTGCTCCACAGGATAAAGATGAGGCTGTCTATTCCTGTAAAGATTTACAATCTCAGAAACCCTGTGGGGAAATTCTATTCTGTCTTATAGTGTCACTATTAATTGAAATCAACTTGAAGGCAGTGATTTAGTAGGACCAATAAATAACATCATGATAAATATGGAGAAGATTGAAGTTGTCAAAGACTTCACTTTTCTTGGATCTACAATCAACACTCAATGGAAGCAGCAGTCAAGAAATCAAATGATGTACTGCATCAGGCAAATCTGCTACACAAGAGCTCTTTAACGTGTTCAAGAGCAAAGATACCAAAGTTTGAGGACTAAGGTGTGCATGACACAAGTCATGGTGTTTTCAATAGCTTCATATGCATGTGAAAGTTGGACATAGAAGAATTGATGCATTTGAGTTATGGTATTGGAGAAGAATATTGCAAGTACCATGAACTTCCAGAAGAACAAACAAATCTGATGGTGAGACTATTTCTCCTACTTCAGACATATTATCAGGAGGGACCAGTTTCTGGAGAAGGACATCAAGCTTGGTAAAGTAGAGTGTTAACAAAAAAGAAGACCCCCAACAATGTGGATTAACACAATGGCAGCAGCCATAGGCTCAAGTGTAGCAACAGTTGTGAGGATGGTGCAGAATCAGGCAGTGTTTTGTTCTGTTGTATACAGGGTCACTAGGAGTTGGAACCAACCCGATGGCAGCTAACAACAACAAGAAGAAATAAAAAAGACAGATATTAACAAATGCTGAGGAGAATGTGGGGAAATTGGAGCCTTTATACACTGTTGGCAGGATTGCAGAATAATGCAGCTGCCTTGGGAAAACCCTGGCAGTCCTCAACAAGTTAACTAACCAGAAATTCCACTCCTAGTAATAGACCCAAAAGAAATAGAAACATCCACTTTCACCAAATGGTGTACATGAATGTAGCAGCATTAATTCATAATAGCCACAAAGTATAAACAACCCAAATGTTCATCAGCTGAAGAATGGATAAAAAAAATGTGGTCTATACATACAATGGAATATTATTCAGCTATAAAGAGAAATGGATTTGCAATACATGCTACAACATAGATGAACCTTGAACACATTATATAGTCATAAGAAGCCAGTTACAAAAGATCAGATATAATTGTATTTCTATGAAATGTCTCTAAGAAGCAAATTCACAGAGACAGAAAGTAGATTAGTGATATCCCGCGACTAGGGGAGGGGAAAATGGGGAGTTACTACTAATACATATAGAATTTCTTTTGGAGTGTTAAAAATATCCTGGAATTTGACTCTGGTGACAGTGGTACAATCTTTGAATATATAAAAAAAAATCACTGAATTGTATACTCTCAAAGGGTAAATTTTATGGTATATAAATTGTTGCTGCTGTTAGGTGCTGTTGAGTTGACATATAAATAATATCTACAAAAATGAAAGAAACAACCCTAGGATGTAGCTCCATTTTGAGAACAAGGAATGTGGCATGCAGTTTGGAGATTCCTGTATCTGCAAAAGTTTCCCAGTCACAGTCCCGTTCAGTGAACCTCTGCCTGCTCTCAGTTCCACACATCTCGCACTGAAGCTGAACCAGTTCACAGCAGACAGTCAGCATTGAATCAGGTACAAGCAATGGCTGCTGCTATCGCTGCTAGGTACCATCGAGTCTGTTCCAACTCATAGCAACTCTGTGTTCAACAGAATGAAACATTGCCTGATCCTGCACCTTCCTCAATTCTGTGCTTGAGTCCATTATTGCATCCATTGTGTCAATCCATCTTGTTAAGGGCCTACCGCTTTTTCATTGACCCTCTAGTTTACCAAGTATAATGTCCTTCTCTGGAGTCCTGGTGTGGCACTGTGGGTTAATGCGCTGGACTGCAAGTTAGGTTTGAACCACAAGGTCACCAGCTGCTCCTAGGAAACCATATGTTATTGTTGTTAAGTGCCATTGAGTCAGTCATTTCTAACCCATAGTGACCCTGTGTAGGGCTTCATAGGAGCAACTAGTGAGCTTGAACTGCCAACCTTGTAATTCAAACAGGCTTTGCAGTCCAACACATTAACCCACAGCACCACACCAGAACTCCTATACAGGGTTGCTATTAATTGGAACTGGCTTGACAGCACTTAATAACAACAATGTCCTTCTCTGGGGACTGATCCCTCCAGTAACGATAAAGTATACAAAATATGTCAGGCAAAGTCTCACTATTCTCGGTTCCAAGGATCATTCTGGCTGCACTTCTTCCAAGCCAGATTTGTTCATTCTTCTGGGTGTTATTAGGTGCTGTTGAGTCGGTTCTGACTCATAGTGATCCTGTGTACAACAACAAAATGCTGGCTTTCTGGCAATCCATGGTATATTCAATATTCTTCACCAACACCATAATTCAAATGTATCAATTATTCTTTGGTCTTCCTTATTAATTGTCCATCTTTCACATGCATATGAAGCAATTGAAAATACCATGACTTGGGTCAGGCACATCTTAGTCTTCAAGGTCTTCAAGGTGACATCTTTGCTTCTTAGTATTTTAAATAGGTATTTTGCCCAATGCAGGTCCAAGCAGTTAGCATCTGTGAATTCAGGAGTGCAAACAAGCCAACAGCTTTTCTTCTGTGGCAGAAAAACCAAGACCCTGCAGGACCAGACAGCTGTGTGCCAAGTCCATGGGACAGACAAGAGTTTTCTAAGTCCTTTTCACCTTGTCAGCCTAAGTCCAAATTGACCCACTCAAAAGTATACACACCAGGCCAGAAAATCATCAGCCTCTGGAAATCAGATTCGCAACTAAAAGCTTCAAAAGTCTATTTCCATCTGGAGATTGCCTCTCTTTTTATATCTCCCTTTTCCTCAGAGTCTCCAACAGTGAGTCAGGGTCATTCAGTATGTAAGCATAACACAGCTATGATTTATTAACACCAAAATCTACAAAGGGAAAAGGCACATGGAGCAAAGTCTAGAGGATACCAGACACTAGCTCCCAAGAGTCCTCTCTCAATGGAGTCACAAGGGACATGATGAATTCTCCCAGCAAAAAGTTGTGACAACACATGTGACATGTCTACCAGGGAAGCTCATTAGTGACACAATGCCCTGGTTTTTATTGGGAACTGATCATGTAAAAATCCCTACCTGTAACATCCTTTCTCCTGAAAGTTTCAGAAAGCCTGATACAGGAGATTAGATTATTGGCAGGATTCTAGAGAGCAATACACATTCAAAACAATGTGGTTGGCTTCTATCTTTGAGTGGAACACAGCTATTTGTTTATTACTGAGTCAAAATGCCAGTGGCAATGGATTTGGATGCTATGCAATATATATGTGGCCCTTGTTTAAGATGGCAATTACCAAACATTTTGAACTGGTTTGAAACCCTATTTAGGATAAGATCCAGTCTATGTACAGTAGAAAAAAATAAGGTATGATTTTGAGAATACGGATTGTTCATGTCATGTTTTAACAAATGTGGTGTTATTTCTGACTGCCTTTGCCATTGCTGTCTGTGCCCCTTGTCTCTCTGGCTATTATACTGTAATTCTCTAGTATTCCATGACTATCCTCGTATAGCTCCTGTTGGCCCTCTCAAATCTTACAAATCTTCTCCAACTGGAAATGTTGAGAAAAAGAAGACCACTTCCACATCTAGCATTGGAGATATGGGGAAAGGAGCAACTGCAGGAGCTGAGGCCCCTTTGGTATGTGTCAATCCCGTTAATTCCCACTTTTCTGACTGTGGTTTATCTGACATTGTGATTCCTTTCTGCCCTTGACTTGGAGGCTTATGTTTCATCAGTCTCCAGGAACTGCTCAAAGGGCAGATTTGGTTTAACATTTCACCCAACCTTTGAAAATTATTTATGTTTTTGCACTCTCCTAAATTTCCGTGCCCTGAAGCAAATTCTTAAAGACCTTATCCTTGTTATAGACAGGCTCCCAGAGGACAGGAATCTGTAAGACTGGTCCAGGTGTCCTCTCTCTGCTTCTTTAAAAATGTCTGATTCTGTGTCAGTCTTGTCTATATGGGTAATTAGAACTAAGGTTCTAGGTCAACCTTCATCCACAAAGTGGCCTCTAAACCTTCTTGAAGGCATAAAATATACTATTACAGTTCTCAGTTGTTGCACAACAAATTTCCCAAACTGTGCTTATTGTAGCACAGGCTCTTTGAGTCTGAAATTGTCATTGATTTAGCTGAGTGTTTCTGATACAGGGTCTCTCATATGGGCGTGGGGGCGTGAGCAAAATGCCAGCTGGGGCTGCCATCATCTGAAAACTTGACTGGGGCTCTTCCAAGGTTGCTCACTCACTTGGCTGTTGGCAGGAGGCCTCAGTTCCTTGCCATGTGGGGCTCATCAAAAACTCCTTAGGCATCCAAATGACAAAGCAACTGGCTTCTCCAGATAGAGAGCAAAGAGGAAGCTGCAATGACATTTATGATCTCATCTCAAAAGTTATGTGCCATCACTTCCTCCATTTGCTATTCCTTAAAAGTAAGCCCTGAATTCCAACCCACACTCGATAGGGAAATTAAGCTAAACTTGTTTAGAGTCTGTTTTAAAACCACCACATAATAATTGTACTCTTGGACATTTTATACTTTTATTTATGTTTTAACTCCCATGTGACCCTAAGGTTCTCTAATGAGAAGTGATGGCTTCAGCCTCTTGGAATCACTGTAAAAAGGGGCTGATGTGTGTGTGTGGGGGGCCAAATGAGGATTCTCTGCAGAAAAGTAAGATGGGGAGAAGGGGACTGACCTTTGTGCACTTACTGTATGCTAGGCACATATGTCTATTCCCTTCTGACTCTGGAGGAAGGAGAAAGACTGAGGGGGATGAGTGGCGTTGAAGGAAGTAATTGGGAGTCCCCATTTTGTTATATATACTGGTCAGGGTTCACAGCTCACTGTCTTGGATGTTATAACCACAGCATTTTCACCCTTTTACAATTTTTGCCCTGATTGCCTATCATTGTGTTCTTTCTAGTTTCTTTATGTCCAGAACCATAATGTGGTTCTGTCATTAGCTCTTTTCAAGATAATGAGGAAATTTTTATGTTTTGAGACTGAATTATTATTATTATTATTTTACTGGATTACCTAAATACAATGACCTCATGGTGCTTCCCTGTAAATTTTCAACTGTAAGTACTGTAGCTTTGTGTTGATCCTCTGACATAAAAGTGGACATTTATTCCATTTGTGATCTTTTGGGAAATTAGAGAGGTGGTGCTAGTCAGGAACCTTGTCCTATGTCCCCTTACAGGTGGAGAAGTCAAAGAGGGAGCCTCGAACACCAACTTCTGTGACCACTGTGGGCCTGGGGTCCCCTCTGAGAAGATGTGACTTTCCAGCAGGCCTTTCTAAGAGACCATCTTCTCCTATAACACTCAAGTAAGCGTCATTCTTCTTGTCTAGACAGTCTGAGTCAAAGTCCTTTCGGTGGCACTTTGTGTGATTCCCTTTTGTGGCTTCTGTTGCTGCCAAAACCATGGGCATCCATAAAGGGCAAGGTGGAGAAGCGGTGGCATTTGAGTTGCCCGACTTGTTTATCTGTGTGTCTTTCCTGGAGAAATAAATGATGGGTTGGCCAGGTGTTCATTAACTGGTCAATATGGGATGTGTATTTACCAAGCTAAGCCTTTCAGCACATTCTTTGTAGTTCCTTGAATTCTATTGTACTTTTTGGGTATTCTTCTGTCCTGCAACTAAATCTAGAGTGAACTTGTCATATCGAGCTTGTACTCTTCCTATCACTCATTTGCTCACTCACACACTCACTCTCTCAGACAGACAGAGAGACAGTAATAATGGGCCAGCCAAGATCAGCAGTATGTTTGTTTGTTTGTTTTTTCCTTCTTTTGAACATTTCATTGTGTTTTAGGTGGAGGTTCACAGAGCAAATTAGTTTTCTATTCAACAATTGTGTGCATTTTTTTCTGACATTAGCTGCAATCCCCTCAATGTAAACAGCACTCTTCCTGCTCCCTCCCTGGGTTCCCCATTCCCATTTGTCCATCATTCCTGTTCCTTCCTGCCATCTGAACTTTTTTTGTCCAGGAAAGGGGCTAATGCTGCCTTTTGGTCTCATGTAATTGACTGTTCTGCAGAGCACATTCCTCACAGGTGGTATTGCTCACTTTAAAGGGCTGTCTGTTTGGCTGATGTCCAGGAGTTGAGTTCAGTTTCAGGTTTTAAGGGTGTTTAAGGGCTATAGTCAAGGAGCTCTGGTAGCGTAGTGGTTACGAATCAGGCTGCGAACTGTAAGGTCAGCAGTTAGAAACTACCAGCTGCTCCATGGGAGAAAGATGAAGCTTGCTGCTCCCATAAAGATTTACAGCCTCAGAAACCCTGTTCAGGGTCGCTATGGGTCAGAACCGACTCGGCGGCACTTAACAACAACAAGGGCTATAGTCTTGGGGTGTTCTACCAGTAGCTATCAGATCAGTTACTTTGGTCATTTTTGTGCATTTGAATTTTGTTCTATATTTCTCTCTTCTGCCCAGAACCTTCTATTGTGATCCCAACCAGAGAGGTCGATAGTGGTAGCTGGGCACCATGCAGTTCTGGTCTCAGGCTAGTGGAGGATATAGTTTGCATGGTCCATTAGTCCTTTGGACTAATTGTTTCCTTCAGTCTTTGGTTTTCTTCACTCTTTGCTCCAGAGAAGAGACTGAAGTCAATATAGTTCTAGTTAACAATTGGGTAAACTCACCAATGAAATCATGTAACTGAAAAACAAATTTACACTAACTGTGAGACCATTGTTTTGTTATTAAAACATTTTACTGATGATAGCTGACCAAAGTGACTCTGTAAACAGCTCAATTCAGCAGTAATGAAAAAAACATCATTAGTGTTACCGATCGAGAGAGAGATGATTTAATGTGGGAAAACAAGTCCATTTTTATAGAGAGAACAATATATACCTGTTGTTTGGTTCAGAGAACATAGAGTAAAACATGAGTTTAATTAACACTTAGAATTTACTTTAAAATATTCCAAAGCAACATCATCTGTGATTACTATTTGTTGATTCTATCAGAGACCTTTTCACTATTATTATTATGTTCAGAAATTACTCTCATTTTCATAGACTATTTATACAGAGTCCTGGTGTGGCCCTGTGGGTTAATACGTTGGACTGCAAAGTCTGTTTGAACCACAATGTCAGTGGTTCAAACTCAACAGATACTCTTTGGAAACCCTATACATGGTCGTTATGGGTCAGAATCAACTCAATGGCACTTTACAACAATAACAACAACATTGATGTATCTGTTTCTCCACAGGAAAAAAATCCTTCCATAGCACATTGCTGAAATAAAAACATCTTCTTTTTGCACATTGCATCTTTTATATGCTACCATTGCCTGTTTGGGGTAATGGTGCTGCTCTCTTATAACTTGTCTGAATCTATTCTGTGGCCTCTATAATCTATTTTTACCTTTGTCTTATATCACAACCTTCTTGGTTTCTATCTACCTGTTACTTCTGTGGTAATAATTTGGGATGTTGACATGAACAGAGTTCATATTGGGAGTTCTCCAGATTCCACCCCTCTCTTTTCCTTGATGTTGACTCATAGTCCCTGTATGGATATTAGCTTTCTCATTTCATCATTATTATTGTGAATTTCACTAATATGCACAAGAAGTTTGCTTCTCTCTATAGCATGAGTATTAGATCTTGGAAGCAAGCACAGAATTGGCTGATGCTACTTCTTCCATGTTGGAGATCTCAAAGAAAATTGTATTTCTAGAACTATTTTATATTTTTAAGGACACATCAGCTGAGTTTTAGAAAAACATTCCCTGTTTGAAGAAACTTGAATAAAAGGTTTTTTTAAAATATAGAGTTCAACTTAGATTTTTTTTTTTTTTGCCCACTGTATAAACAGCAGTACCAATTGTTTATGTACCAATTGTACATAAACTAGACCAGTTGCTAACAAGTGAATTCTGATTCATGGCGACCCCTTGTGTGTGCTCCATGAAGCTTTTCAGACGTGACATTTTTGAAGATTGCCACGCTTTTCTTCGGTGGTGTCTCTGGGTAGATTTGAACTCCAATCTTTTGGTTAGAAGCTGATCACACTAACCATTTGTACCACACAGAGACTCCTAATTGGTACATGTTGTTATTGCTAAGTGCCGTCGAGTTGGTTCTAACTCATAGTAACCCTGTGTAGGGTTTCTGAGGAGCACCTGGTGGGTTTGAACCACTGACCTTGAAAGTTAGCAGTATAGTACTTAGCCTACAACACTACACCAGGACCCCAGTTGGCACATAGTCGGTTCTTAATTAAAGGAGCCCTAGTGGCAAAATAACTTAAATTCCTGGTGTGGCACTGTAGGATTACAAGTGGACTGCAAACAACATGGTCGGCAGGTCAAACCCACCAGCTGCTCCTTGGGAACCTTTTACAGGGTCACTATGAGTTAGAACCAACTTGACAGCATTTAACAACAATGCAACGGTGGTACAATGTTAAGTACTAAGTTCTGGTTGAAAAGTTGACAGTTCAAACTCAGAGCTGCTCCATGGAAGGAAACCCTGATGATCTGTTTCCATAAAGATTATATTGTTGTTGTTAAGTGCCATCGAGTCGGATCTGACTCATAGTGACCCTGTATAGAGTTTCCAAGGAGCAGCTGGTGAGTTTGAACTGCTGACCTTGTGGTTCAAACCAACCTTGTGGTCTAGTGCTTTATCCTATAGCACCACACAATGTTGTTATTAGGTGTCATCAAGTCAGTACCAGCTCATAGCAATCCTATGCACAACAGAATGAAACACTGCCAGCTCATAGGCCAACCTCATAATCGTTGGCTACACTTGACCCCATTGATGCTGCCACTTTGCCAATCCATCTTTCTGGGGGTCTTCCTCTTTTTAGCTGACCCTCCACCTTACCAAACATGACATTCTTCTCCAGTGACTGGTCTCTCCTGACAATATGTCCGAAGTATGAGAGATGAAGTCTGGCCATCCTGGCCGCCAAGGAGCACTCTGGGGTACTTCATCCAACACAGATCTATTTGTTCTTTTCGCAGTCCATGGTACTTTGAATATTCTCCTCCAACACCATAACTCAAATGCATCAATTCTTCTACAGTTTTCCTTATTCACTGTCCATTTTTGCATGCACATGAGGTTATTGAAAATACCATGGCTTGAGTCAGGTCCACCTTAGTCCTCAAGCTGATAATCTTTGCTCTTCAACACTTTAAAAAGGTCTTGTGCAGCAGATTTACCTAATGCAATTCATCATTTGATTTCTTGACTACTGCTTCCACGAGTATTGATGGTTGACCCGAGAAAAATGAAGTCTTTGACAACTTCAGTCTTTTCTCCATTGATAAAAATGTTGTTTATTGGTCCAGTGATGAGGATTTTTGTTTTCTTTACATTGAGATGGAACCCATACCGAAGGCTGTGGTCTTTGATCTTCATCAGCAAATATTTTAAGTCCTCTTCACTTTCAGCAAGCAAGGTTGTATCATCTGCATATCGTAGGTTGTTAATAAGTCTTCCTCCAATCCTGATGCCACGGTTTTCCTCATATATCCCAGCATCTCGGATTATTTGCTCAGCATACATGTTGAGTAATTATGGTGAAAGAATACAACCCTGTCACACACTTTTCTTAATTTTAAACCATTCAGTGTTTCCATGTTCTGTTCCAACAACTGCCTCTTGGTCTATGTACAGGTTCCTCATGAGCACAATTAAGTGTTCCGGAATACTCGTACTTCGCAATGTTGTCCATAGCTTGTCATGATCCACACAATTGGAAAGCCTTTGTATAGTCAATAAAGCACAGGTAAACATCTTTTTGGTATTCTCTGCTTTCAGCCAAGATCATCTGACGTCAACTATGATATCCCTCATTCCACATCCACTTCTGAATCCAGCTTGAACCTCTGAAAGTTCTCTGTCAGTGTGTGATTGCAGCCATTTCTGTATTACCTATAGTAAAACTTTACTCGCATGGGATAGCAAAGATATTGTCCAATGATTTCTGTATTCCGTTGGGTCACCTCTCTTTGGGATGGGCACAAATACTGCTCTCTTTCAGTCAGTTGGCTAGGCAGTTGTCTTCAAATTTCTTGGCATAGATGAGTGAGTGCTTCCAGTGCTGCATCAGTTTGTTGAAAGATTCCATTTCTATTCTATCAATACAGCCACACAACGCAGCCTCAGAAACCCTATAAGGCAATTCAACTCTGTTATTTAAGTCACTGTGAGTCGGAATCAACTCAACAGCACCTAACAGTGAGAAGTGCTTAATAAATATTTGTGGAGTGTATGAATGATTGCAAGTCACTGTGCCAAATGCCCAGAGAATCCCAACATAAGTGAGAACAGTCACCATGTCAAGGAGCCTCATG